AGTATTATAATATTAGTATTTAGACCATTCACACTGAATGTAATTATTTATATACTGTATTAATATCTACCATGTTTGTTATTCTTCCTTATTCCTTGCATTTGCTTTGTTTCTTTTTCTTTCTCTTTTTCTGCCTTGTCTGGTTTTAAGTTAGCATTTTATATGATCCCATCTTGTCTCTTCTATTAACATATCAGTTGTAGTTCTTTTCAAATGTTTTTAGTGGTTGCCTAGAGATTTCAGTATACACTTTATACCGTTCCATCTGTAGCACAGAGTATTCCCAATTCCTTCTTCCCATCCCTTACGATATTACTGTCATTCATTGCACTCATCTGTACCTTGTAATCATCATTTGTTCCAATCAGAGAATGTCCTTGAGCTGCTGCTTGACTGCCATCTTGGGTTTCTTTTTAATATTTCTGGGATTAGATCCACTGGTTTCTAATTTTCACATCTTCCTCAATATTGGATTACATGCCTCTTTTTCTGAATCCAACACATTGAATTTTTTTAAAGATTTATTTATTTTAAAGAGAGAGAGTGAGTGTGGGGAGGCAGAGAGAAGAGCAGAGGGAGAAGGAGAAAGACAATCTCAAGCAGGCTCCATACCCAGCGCAGAGCCCAATGCAGGGCTCTGTCTCATGGCCCTGAGATCATGAACTGAGGCAAAATGAAGAGTCAGACACTTAACTGACTGAGCCACCCAGGCACCCCCCTATTAAATGTTTTTAAGAGTGGGTGTGTGTTGCTCAGTATCAGACATCTATTTATTAGATAAATAAACTAGAACCATACTAGGTGACTTAGTTTTAAAACTTTTTATATACATAAAGGAAATAAAGAAAATTGTAGGAAAAACACTCAAGATGGATATTTGTAAAGTAAAATTTCTGAGCCTTACATATCTGAAGTTGTCTTGATTAGCACTGAGTATTGAAGAGCTGGCTTTACAGTCACTGTTACTGATGAGATGTCACTCTCAAGTTATTCTTGCTGTCATTCCTCCATAGTTGACCAGTTTCTTGATTCTTACTGGAGTTTTAAGTTTTTCTCTTTGTTTTTTAGGTGTTGTCATTTCATAACGAGGTGCTTTGGTTTATGTCTTTTTGAATTCATCTTTCTAAGTACCCTTTAAAAAAAATTCATGTCCTTCTACTCCGTGGTATCTTTTTAAGTAATTCTCTTAACATATTCCTCCTCTGCAATTTCCTTGCACAGCTTTCTTGACTCCAATTAGGTGGCTATTAGACCACCTAAATTTATCTTAATGCTCTTATATTTTCTTTCAAATCTACTTTTTTTTCCCTTTTAATCTCTTACTTTTCTGGGAAACTTCTTCAACTTTATTTTACAACCATTTTAGTAAATTTTAGTAAATTTCAAAAAATCAATATAAAAATTACGTAAGACCATAATCACTTTCTTTCTTTGTATCCTGGGGTACAGTGTGTATTCTCAAATATCTCTAAAAAATATTAGAGGTTTTGAAAGTTTCTCATTTCCTATAATATCTCTGTTTCTCCTAAGATAACTTTTTTTTCTTTTTGTATGTTGTTCTTTCTGATATTTGAGAATTTTTTCAAAACTCTGCTGACCTGTGGTTATCTGTTCCTACTTAAGAGAAGGCTCTGGAAATCAACTGATGTGATTCACTAAATTAAAGAATAAAGAAGGAAAATCATATAAATATCTCAGCAGATGCACTTGATAATATTCAACATCTGTCCATGAGAAAACTCTCAGCAAACTAGGAATAGACAGTAACTTCTTCAGTCTCATTAAAAATACACACACACACATACACAGTGCATACAGCAAACATCATACTTAATGGTGATACTAAGTGCTTTTTTTCTAAGATTGGAAACAAGACAAGGATGTCCACTCTCACTACTTTTCTTCAACATTGTGTCTAAACTCTTAATCAGTACAATAAGAAAGAAAAAGAAATAATTGTTGGGGAAAAAAGTAAAGGAGTTTACTTGCTGGTGACATGATTATTTATTTTCTATAAAATCCAAAAAAAATCTACAAATACATTACTGGAATACAAGAATTTAGCAGGGTTATAAATACATGGTTAATATTTTCAAAAACCAGTTTTATTCCCATCCAATTATAACAAGCAATTTAAAAAACAATACCATTTAAAGCAATACCAGCTTAAAAGGCAACACCATTTCTAGTTAGGAATAAGTTTAATGAAAGATGTGTATGACTTCTTTTTTTTTTTTAATTTAATTTAGTTAACACATAGTGTATTATTAGTATCAGGGGTAGAATTTAGTGATTCATCAGTTGCATATAACATCCAGTGCTCATTACATCAAGTGCCCTCCTGAATGTCCATCACCCAATTACCCCATCCCCCCACCGACCTTCCCTCCAGCAACCCTCAGTTTGTTCCCTATAGTTAAGAGTCTCCTATGGTTTGCCTCCCTCTCTGTTTTAATCTTAGTTTATTTTTCCTTCCCTTCCCCTATGTTCGTCGTTTTGTTTCTTAAATTCCCCAGTCTAGATGTGTATGACTTCTTTACTGAAAACACTTCTAGAAGGAAAACTAAATAAATGGAGAGCTATACAATGTTAACAGATTGGAGCTCAATATTGTTAAGATATCATTTGTAACCAAATTTATCTGAAGGTTCAATGCAAACTGTATAAAAATCCAAAAGGCTTTTCTTGTAGAAATTGACAAATAGATTTTAAGAGACATATGGAATACCAAAAGACCTAGAAAAGCCAAGACAATTTTTCCCTAACTGACTTCAAGACTTTCTATAAACTATAGTGTGCAAGCCAATTTGCTATCAGCATAAGGATAGACAAATAGATCAGTGGTACAGAATAGAAAATCTATAAATAGACCCATGCTTACATTACAAATTGCTTTTTGAATATTTTCATTACCTTGTGGTAGGCAAAGATTTCTTAGTACATTAAAGTTGTTATTAAAGTTATAAACCACAGAAGAAAAGAATTGATGGATTTGGCTTCCTCAAAATTAAAAATTTCTCCTCATCAAAACACATGGTTAAGCAAACCACAGATTGGAAGAAAATGTTTGTGATACATAAATTAAACAAAAACACTTCTTTCCATAAAAAAAACAAACTGCTACACATCAGTAAGTAGTAAAAGACAACCAAACAATATAAATGGGTCAAAAACTTGAACAGACACTTTACAAAAGATGCATGAATTGCCAATAAGCATATGAAAACATGCTCAATATCATTAGTCATTAAAGAAATGCAAATTAAAACTATATGAGATCCCACATCGTACTCATGAGAATTGCTAAAATTAGAAAAACTATCTCTAATAGACTTTGAAAAACAGTTTGGCAGATTCTAAACTGGCTAAACATACTCACGCAATGATCCACTCCTAATTACCCAAGAGAAATGAAAACATCATGCCATAAAAAGACATGTACAAGAACAACAGGTTTATATCATACAAGTCCCAAACTGGAATCAATCTAAATGTCCATCCCAGGAAAATGAATAAGCAGATTGCGGTAGGTCCACACAATGGAATACCTTCAACTACAAAAAGGAACAAACTTCCATTCATCCAACAGCTTGGATGATGAGCAAATGCCAGGCACAAAGCATACATGATGTATTACTCCATGTATGTGAAACCCAGTAAGAGGCAAAATTCACACATGGTGACAGAAAGGTCAGCAATGTTTGCCTTTGAGAGGCTGCCTGGCTCTAGGTGGTCAGCTTGTAGGGTGAGGGGTTAGAGGTGCACCTTTCTGTTCTCCATTTAAAAAATAACATATAAGTTTTCAGCACCATGTCTCACTTGTGATCTCTACTGCCTCTTCAGGGTTCTTCAGGGCATACTGGTGTTTTTCTGACCTATGGAAGCATCCTCCACCTACAACAGCAATTAGCACTCTTCTGACCACTTTTGTCATATAGATTTTGGTTGAAATTTCTCTTGTGCTCATTGCCCCGCCATTCTCTTTGTCACTGTGAATCCAATTTCTTTATTATCGTTTTAGCAGGGCTTTTAATGAAAGAGAAGACAAATGCTTCTTTTCAATCTGCAATCTTTGACCTGGAACATTTCTTTTGCAGGAATTTGACACAATAATTTGACGTTATTATTCCCTGAGGCATACTAAGTACTTGGGAAGTGGCAATAATTCTCTTCTGGTTTGACAAAGAAAGCTTCTAAGTCTTCATAATACAAGATGTTGATTAAAACATTATTATCAGAGCAATAAAATGATCAACTAAAAATTGGAATTATAGACTCAGGTTTAAAATTACTTTCACAGGAAACATCAGTGATTTCTGAAATTCAGATGCCTGAAAAGATTCACTATATATAACAATAACACAGACAGATTTATATTAACACAAAGTAGGACCAGATGTCCCAGGAAAAATGTTTGATATTCTTGTGAAATTATCAATTTATACTGTTTCATGTCACTATTAACCACATCTCATCCTTTATAAATTAACTTTATAATGTGGGATGGCATTTCTCTTAACAGCTATAGGGGGAGAGCTGGTTTTTAGCTTTCTGATATTTTTTTTCTCTTAGTTGTGAAGTATTTTCAAGGTTAGACTTCTATCCCATTGCTTTCCTTTTTCCAAAACTGCTTTATTGGAGTATAGTTTATTCCATTGCTTTTCATTCCTCTGTTCACTCCATCTCAATTTTGTTTAAATTTAAATTTTTTTAATTACAAAAATACTTCAGATATGTGAAGGTATCTTTACAATGGCTTTGATCCAGACAGACTGGAATAGACTTTTTCAGTCCCACATTTAAGTCTTTCTTAACCTCCGTGCTTTCTTCAGCATATCTTTGCTTATTATTTCAATTCCATTTTTTCTGTCTCTGCTCAGCACTATTTACTTTATATATGTTAGTTTTTCCCAGCTTATTCTTCATATATAAATCTTACAGCCTCCACAAGCATCTTGGAATCTGGATGACCATTTTCACATAGTATCCTTCCTTCTTAGGGCATCCACAGAAGACCAGAACATTGATGACAGACTTATCTATGAGACTCTATTCAAACACTTCAAAAGACACAAGGTGGAGATTTCAAATGCAGTAAAAAAGCCATTTCCTTTCTTTGAGTGCCTCCGGGACCGTGAACTCATCACCAATAAACTGTATGACGTAAGTGATGTTTATTATGTCATGATCTGGTAAACTGGCCCCAAATGAAGTTATATTTTGATATCCTGGACCCAAACATCAAGCACAACTAACCGATTGAGTCGCCTATGAGTGGGGACTTTTTCAAGTATTGTTGCAAGTGTTCCTGTAAGGTGAAAAGGAAAAGGAGAATCAGTTGTCACCAGGGACAATCCTGCTTCTCTCTGAAGGAATGGCGCTCTGTGCTGCCCCCTGGAGTTGGGCTGAATAGCATATCAAGTGGGCTGAATCTGAAACAGGACCACTCTATAGATGTATATAATGCTTTGTAGGAATGCATAGAATATAACATAAACTGAGAATTAAAGGTAATTTTAATGAATTGATGTATAACTTAAATGAGTTAATTTAATAAAATAATAACACATATCATTTTTAAAAAATTTTATTATGTTATGTTAGTCACCATACAATACATCATTAGTTTTTGATGTGGTGATCCACGATCCATTGTTTTCATATAACAACCAGTGCTCCATGCAGTATGTGCCCTCCTTAATACCCGTCACCGGGCTAACCAATCCCCCCTCCCCCCTCCCCTCTAAAACCCTGTTTGTTTCTCAGAGTCCACAGTCTCTCATAGTTCATCTCTCAACACGTATCATTTCAGTGGACATCAGTTTGAGTGCTTAGATCTGAGAACATTAAAATCTACAGGGAATTGATGTCCTGTTAGGACAAAATTTGGGAATTGATGATTATTATTCTTTCACTAGCAGTTTTCAGTTTTTAGGGTTTTTTTTCTTTTTCTTTCTTTTTTATGGTATTTCTGGACTTTTAGAATTTGGGTTTGATTTTAGCAATAGGCATAGCTGGAGTTACAGAGATTCAAGTCTTCTCTTTGCCGGATGAATACGCTTTCTCTATGGCCAAATTCATAAAAGAGGAGAACTGTCACCTGGTTTCCTTGAGTTCTTCCAGGCCCAGTCAGTCCTGGGGAAAGGGTAAGGTCGTCCATACAACAGGACAGCTGCTCATCACCTCTTAGTCTATTCCTAAAATATCTGACCAGGTTCTTAAAGGGCTACATTTAACTTTGAACCCACTGTTGTTCTTCAAAATTGCTCTTACTTACATCTAATATAAATGAAGGTGAGGAGATCTGTTTCACAAGTGAGTATTTTTAAGGAGGAAGGATTTACTTGTTTCACTTAGTATCTATACAAATAAATAGAAATTCTAAAACTTTATATGAGAAGATACCTATGGAGGAAATTGGAAGACATTACCCATAAAATCACTTTCTAGGGTTCTTCTGTAACTTGGAAGTCTGTATTTATATTCTCTCCATTCAATATTTTTTAAGGATTGTCAAGATTCTTGTAGAAACCTGATCCCTGTACAAAGAGTGGTGTATAATGTTCTCCATGAACTGGAGAAGACATTTGACTTGCCACTTTTGGAAGCATTGTTCAGCGAGGTCAACATGCAAGAATACCCTGATTTAAATCGTATTTATAGGAGCTTCGAATATGGTAATTAGTTTTATTATCTACCTTTTGATATCCAGGGCCAACTTTTTTTTTTTGGACAAGTATATGTTGAGCTCCTACAACGTTCCACACACAATGCTGGGGCAGTGGGGATATAACAGTGGAGAAAACACAAATCATGAACCTTCTCAAAGCTTATGGTATAATGGCTATGGTACAACACTCACCTAGAGTAGAGGTCTGCTTAACTAGGCATTTAGACTCACAGGGCAACCAGAGCCGAAGTGCCATCAGATTTACTTAGAAGGACAAATGACAGGAAACACAGCATCCCAACAAGGCAGCATCAGTTGCTCCTCTTCTGTGGGATTCCTTGTGGAGACCAACACAGCAGTCCACCAAGTTGACTACTACCCGCCTCGAGTGTCAGCTTGGCTGTGGATGTAGGATCCACCCTGGCTTAGCAGCACCATGCCCATGGGTATCAATAGGTCACATAACAGTACTGTAGTCATAACGTTCAGGGACCCTACAAGGGACAAGCCAAGTCATAAGAGTCACCACTTTGAAGGAAGACCAAAGTGCACTTTGTAGTCTGTAGATAGTCCCTCCCCATCCACATGTAACTTACCAGCCATTTTTTGACCCTAAACTAGGGCTAAGCTAGGTTTTAATTAGGCCGATATTAGCTTTAGTAGAAGAAAAGCCATCTTCATCAGGTTTCCAGAGTAATGAGCCAGAAAGTTAACCCAATGTCACATTTACCCTTAAAGAAGGAGAATTGGTTTTGTTAACTCTTTCTTCACAAGGGGTGAAACAAACATTATTCAAATAATCACAAAACCAATGCTCTGCCAGGTGTTATACAAAACTAAAGGTTTGATTCTCAATTTTTTCCTGGGAAGGCATGATTTTTATTTTATTTTTAAAATAACTTTATTTTAATTTATTTTAAGGCCTGCAAGAGTTTAAGAGAATGCTCTTAATATATATATACACTTTTTTTTTTGACTTGCCTAAGAAACTTTTTATTCCAACACAGTTTGGTGTCAGTGGAGTTCTCCAGATAAGGGATAGAGACATCATAAGAAGAATGTTCCCATGTCCTGAAGAGGGTTGGCACTATGGGATCAGGCATGGAGTGTGAAAGGATCTAGTGTGTCTTCAAAGACAAATTCAATTTTTCTCAGAGAGTGAGAAGCAGACTGTGGAGCTGATTCATGAGAGATAAATTTGAAGAAAATTTGAGGAAGTCTACCATATATAAAGCTAAGCAATTGGAATTTTATTAATAGGCAATAAAGAGATATCAACAGTTTTTATAAACAAGAAAAAATTAAAAAGCAGGTATAAAGCATGTGGTTTGTCGACTTGTGTCAATAGTAACCTTATCTAATTAAGAACAAAATAATTTCTACAGCAGTTAGAAATCGAATAAAGGCAATTAAGTCAATATTGTATTTGTAACCAGGATGTCCCGGGCCATGGGAACAGAGGGAATGGTGGTTACCTGTCCTGCCCACACCTCAGGGGCTCTGATTCTCTCCATGGACTGCAGCGACCCACCCCCCTTCCAGGTTCAGTGTCCACATCCCCTGTGTTAGGTTCTGGGGTTCCCCGAGCTAGGGTGACCTGCACCTACACTCACTGCAGCTGTCGCCTCCCAGACACTGTTGTTCATGGGAGCTGTGAGTCAGTAACCCAAAGCCAAGAATCTGGGGGCTGTGGCCTGGGGTGTGCACCCTCTCCTGCTGCTCAGTCCCTACCTTCATCGCATGCTCAGAGCCTCCTGAGCCCCCATGGGACCATATACATGCACACAGGCCCCCTTCACCTTTCCCTTTGTTCTCCTTGTATCTTCCACCTGGTTTTGCCACAGTCTGAGGCCAGGTCCTGGGATGACAAAGCACACCTGGCTCCCAGTGTCCCATGCAACTCACCCCTGCGGGCCCAACCCCAGGAGGAACTCCCTCCATGGGCCCTGGAGCAGCAGGTTCCCTACCTCCATGGTGTCCCCTCCTCCCTGGACTCCCCGCAGATACCACCCTCCTCCCCCCTCCAGGCTTCATGGTTTATTTCCTTCCTCCCATGTGTGCTGGGTCACCTACAGGCAGGGGTGCTGGGCTGGTGTCCCTCCCTCCCCTGACTGGGGACCTCCCCACCCCTGGGGCAGGCCTGTGGGGTGGTCCTCCAGCACAGCTATCTGTGCTCCCTGCTCAGAGCTGCAGAGTGTCCCTCCTTTGTTCCTGGGATCTGGCCCCTGGGAGGTCTGTCTTGTTCCTCCAGGTGTCCTCTGCTTTGTCTCTTTGGGAAGCACTCATCCTCCCTGCCCCAACCCTCCTCTGGTCTAGCAGCATCTTTAGAGCAGATGGGCTTTCTCTTTCATACCCATGGATCTCTCTGTGAGCCTAGCTCTTCTCCGAAGGAAATCCCTATTTCTTTCTTTCAGTTTGAATGGTTCAGAAACACATTTCACTTCTATTATTTATTTTGATATATGCTTTTCCTGGCCATCCACAAATTCTTTTACAAGAGTAATGGGATCGTGATGTTTCCTTTATCCTTAAATTTGGAGTGGCTCCTTTCTGTGTGGGAGACATAGACTCTCTTGCTGAGAGTTCTCTTTTCTATCCCAGGAGTGATTGGGGAGCTTTACAAGAAGGATCAGAGGCACTGAGCTCGAGTGACCTGAGGGATGGGAGTTGCTAACTGTGTAATTTTGAGATGTTGTGTCTGGTCTCTGATGGGATCCCTAATTGCCTTCTTCCATCTCCCTCTCTTTAGCAATCCAAGAGAAAATTAATTACCAAGAAAGTGATGAAGAAGCGGTGGACAAGAGTCCTAATAACCAACTGAGGCTTAGGCAAGGTGACTGCAACCTGATAAACACCGATTTGCATCTACAAAGAAGAAAAGGAGAAAGGGAACTCAGGCCTGAGTCCTGAGTGTATTTGGGGAATCAGGGAAGAAATATTAAGGACCAAGGAAAAGGCAGGGAGGGGTGTTTGCATGAATGTCTAAGCAGAGCTCAAATCCTGGAGGAGTAGCTATGACAAGAGACTATTGGCCCAATAACCAAGGCAACGGGACAGAAACTCAGTGTCAATAAACCAGATTTAAGCAGATTAACTGCCAGGAAGTAATTGTGATTTAGAAAAGTCCCTGTAGGAGAATATTAGTGTGAAACTCTTAAGGGCTAAGGACCTGGGCCCATGGTCAACATCAAATGTTGGAGGAAGGACTGATTTCAATGTGGGGATGTTTTTCAAGAGCCCAGATATTCAAGGAGAAAGCCAGTCACACAGAGAGAGAAAAGAGGAAGTGGTAGAAAGGTGGAAGGGAGGATGTGGGTACTTTGAGAGAGAGAAGGAGGGAAATGAAAGAGAAGAAAGGATTAAAAGACACAATAGAAATAGCTGTGTTATTAACATCTCACTGGTTGAACATTTGTGCAGGCAGTTGTAGGTTTAGTGCTCAGGCTGCCGTTGGAGGTTAGCACTCCTTTTATGCCCATTTTGCAGATAAGGAAACTGAAATCTGGAGACAGTGTGTGTGTAGTTGGCCTGGGGTCAGATGAGCAAGGGTGAACCCAGGCATTCTGAACCCAGAGCCTGGTGTGTGTGTGTGTGTGCGCGTGCGCGCATGTGTGTGTGTTAATGGAAGTAAAAATTCACATAACATAAAATTAACCATTTTAAAGTGTACAGTTAATGATATTTGGTGCATTCACAATGTTGTGCAACCACTACCTCTGTCTAGTTCCAAAACATTCCAATCACCTCAGAAGGAAGCTCCATATCACTCCCTGTGCCCCTCTTGCCTAGCCTCTGGCAACCAGTAATCTAGTTTCTGTCTCTGTGGATTTACCTATTCCAGACATTTCATGTAAATGGAATCATATAAACATGCCCTTCATGTCTGGCTTCTTTCACACAGCACAATATTTTCAAGGTTCATCTATGTTGTCACATGAATCAGTTCTTCATTCCTCTTTGTTAGTGAAGAGCATTCCCTTGTATGGATATATTTATTACATGTTGCTTATCCATTCATTAGTTAGTGATGGGTTGTTTCTACCTTTTGGCTGTGACAGAGCCTGCATTCTTAACCCTGTACTGCCACTCCGGTAATCTAATGGAAAAGACAGAAGCATGAGACAAAAATTGGGAAATATATGCAGAGAAAGATACAGAAAAAAGAATACCAAGAATGGGAGGACGTAGAGGAGAATCGGACATGGAATCCTCAAGGAAAGGCCAATGAGACAGACTGAACAGATGTGTAGAGGGAGGATGTAGAGGAAGAGGAGGTGGGGACGAGTCAGCAGGACTTTGTAGGAACTGAGTAAGTCCACTGGTCAGGGGCAGCTCTGGGGACAAAGGCAGCTTCACTATGGCCATGGGAGTCAGGATAAGCCATCACCAGTTAACTCAAGTACCTTGTGTGGGACATGCAGTGAGATGGCCTGGCCAAGGCCCTCTTAGCCGGGGTTGCAGCTGACCCCAATCCTCCACTCTGCCAGTTGGGGTCTGACTGCAAGGGCTGTGTGGGATCTACCAAGTCCATACGGTCTCTGTATGGTTACCTGGGGAGGATCTTCAACTCTTGCTTTATAAAAAGGGGATTAGGGGAGAATGGCACAGACCATACTTTAATTTCTGAAATGAACTTTCAATTTCTTCCCCTAGGAACTGGTGAAAACTCATATCGAAGCCTGACCTGGTCATGCCCACAATCCTCATCTTACCATGGTCTGTTCCTGTTGACTGTATTCTGATCCTTTGTGTTCTTGTCCCATTCTGGAATGTGCTGGGAGGTGGGGGGCTGCTTTTTTGTATCACTGATTGCCCAGAATCTCTGTCTTTACTAATGCAATTTCTATAACGAAGTCCTGGGGTGTTTGCCCTGGGATTCATTCCTTACCTTCCCCTGTTCTGCTCTGCCCTCTATCTCTGGCCACTGGCTTCTGTGGACCTACTTGCTAGCTCCCTTTGTTGCTGGCTTCCTGCTGGCTTCCTGACATGGGACCCTAACAAGAGATCGGAGAGTGGGAAAAAGGGAGAAGCTGGATATTTCCCCATCACTGCCTTTGTCCACAATTCTGAATGTGGCTGCATCTCATCCATGATACCACTTCCCACCAAGCGGGCCAGCTATAGGCCAGCTTCTATCCACCCAGTGACCCTGACCTCTGGGCCCACCCTCAGTCCCTCCCACAGTTTCCTGTTAAGTATTTTTCCGGTTACTGCATTCTTCTATTTGGACTTCTCAGCTCTTCCATCAACTGTATAACCAACCTCCTGGATGAAATTCCCTGTGCTGTAAAAGCTTAGAGTGATTTCTATTTTCCTGTTGTACCCTGATTGATGCAAAGGGCAAATAAAATATCTGTGAATTAAAACATGGTTTAGGTGCAACCCCACCTGAAGATAGACTCTTGGAGAACCTCTGTGAATCAGAACAGATAAATGCAAACAGAACAGATACAACCAGTGACCAAAATGATGCACTAGAAATCCAACAAGCAAATGAGGAGTGTGCCCAAGAATCTGAGCCAGCAGGTAAGACTGCCTGGGTTTGCATGAGTTTAGAGGGGCTAAGGAGTCCTTCATGGTGGCAGAGAATGGAGTCGTGCCCAACTCAAGAAAACATCTATTAACAAAGAAGGGGAAACTCATGCAGATTCAGAGGAGACAGGAATGGAGCTTGATATATTGATGGGAGAGACCTAGAGGAAGAAAAGTTAGGAAGTGCTAGCTTCCACAAGCCTACTTATTTTTTACTGGATTAAAAGCAGGTATTGGGTGAGATCAGAAATTGCCACCTTCTGCCATTTTCCTGCTGATAAAAATGATAGATAAGCTAATTTGTACTGTTTAACTGAAAGAGCAATATTTGCCTACCTGTAATGGAAAATATATAAAATATGTTTCTGGTGCTTTTTCATTTTCTCAATGTTGGAATACCTCTTATTGACAGAAAAGTTGCAATGCCAGGGGCTGAAAATGGATTTTGACTTTAAGATCTTCAAAAGCTGCTAAGAAAATTAAATGAGTACATAAACAAATAAAATACAAAACAAAATAAGAAATATGGCTATGAGAGACATGGGTACACGCTATAGAAATTTAAAGAAAAAAAAAGATGGTTTCTGGCTAAGGGGCAAGGCAGAGAAAATCAGGACATGCTTATAGTAGTATCGTTTGCTATGGCCTCAGCAGATGGGAAGAAACTAGATATTAAGTTTGAAGATACCCAAATTTGAAGAAAAAAGAAAAAGAAAACTTCACAGTATACATTCCAGTGTAGGGGCTCAGGGCAGACCACCCTAAAATGTGCCATTTAAGCATAAAGATTATTTCGAGTTAAAATAAAAACCCAACAGATACAGGAAAGGCACTCTGCCTCCCCCATAACTGCCTTAATATATACTGGAAAGGAGAGCCTATATCAGGAAGAGAAGTATTAGTAGAAACTTCCCCTTACCTAAGAAGGAACTTATCTGTATAATAGAACCATGTTATATGTTTTTCCAAACATCTCCTTTGACCTTCTTACTAATGACTTTTCTCCCCTCTGTATCCTCAGGCCCCTATCCCTCTCCTAAGCTCATATAAGCTTCATGTTGCCTCATTGTGTTTGGAATTCCATGTCTGTATGGATTCTCTGTATGTATGCCTATTAAATTTCGTTTTCTTTTGTTAAAAAAAAAAGAAAAAGAAAAGTTAGGAAGGACAAACAAGGAGACAAAGGGTAAAAAGTTACAGGGCTTCATCAGGGAAGAGAGACAGAAAGAAAAGTCAAAAGAAGTCAGGGAGAGCTGATCACAGAGTTACTGAAGCACCAACATTTTCATGGGGTGAAGGTTAAGATGGCAATATTTGCAGACAAGCTATAAATAGAAACATGAGAAGAAAAGAGAAGTCAGGTGAGGTGTAACAAAATGCAAATAGGCAGAACAGGGAGGGCTGTGCCGGGTCTCAGCTGTGTCTTTTTTAATCCTCAGAGTCCTGTGAACAAGCACCCATCCAAGTGAGTAATGAAGACACAAGAGAAGTCACACCCAGCCCATTGCCCTCTGATGGAGAAAGTAATTATTACTTATCTTACAAATTTTCTAATTCTATCTTTGTTTTTCTATGAGAGCAAAAGCTTTCCTTTGTTCTCCAATACTAACCACCTCCCTTACCCTAACAACACCCAAGATCCACAGCCTTGTGCACAGCCTCTGGCTGCTTCTAAGTCATGTGAGATGCAAGGGGGAAAGAGAGGTGAGCTCTTTGATAAAGGGCATGTCCCCAAGGAAAGAATGCAAGGAGAGAAAATATTTAAAAAGTGAACCAAAGAACACCAAACGACAAAGTACATGAACAACATAGGTTTTAGATAAATTGACATGGAATCCAAACAGTACCATTTTGTGGAGTTGGTGAAAAGAAATAAGTTGCACCTTGCTTTTCAGAAATTGTAACAGAAACATGGAAACCATGCATGATGCTGCTGGTCAGATTTGCAAGTATGGAAGCTCTGATGAAGGACTTTTAGAAAAGAAGTGGCAACTGGAGGGACTTGGAGTGGGGGACAGTGGCACAGGAGGAGAACTTTGGTGATGATTGGAATGCTTGAGATGAGAAAAATGAATAGAAAGACAAAAATCAATACAGAAGAGGCATATAGAAAGTCACATTAATAATTAAGAAACAGAGATCAAGTAGGAGAAGGTAAGAAACATAACAGAGAATTGATAAACTGAAAAATCAGTTAGGGGACAGCAGGGCCAGTTCTAGGGTGAAGCAGGGAGGTCCTGGGACACATGGGAAGAAAATCTTACCCGTGGTATCTTCTTGTCCCTTGGCACCTCTTCTGATTCACCCTAGACCCTGCTGGGTCCTGGGAGATAGTGATAAAGGATGTTGAGAAAAAGAGTATGAATAGAGAAATATCCAGAAGAAAATGAATACCAGTAAATAGAAAAAATGGGAAGAGGCCTAAAGAGAATGAGTAGAGGATGAGTTAAGGGACCATGAATGAAAAACTGGTAGAGAGTGGGCCAAATAAAGAGAGAAGATAAATGAAAACATTGTCCAATTTGAAAAGATGGTCATGAGAAAGAAGGCACAGAGGGCTCTTCCTAATACCATTGAGAAGACATCATTAAGGTGTCTACAGTGACCAAAATGGCCCTTTCACTCCCTCAGATAAAAATAGGCCTCCACCCAGGCATCTCATGTCTCCATGGCTTCAATCACCATCTGTGATCTATGGATTCCTACACACAACTCTGGTCCAGACCTGTCTTCTAGATTCATTCCTTCAAGTGCCTGAAGACTTGTAATCAAAGATCTGAAAGCCATCTCTATTTGGAAGCTATATTAGTTATCTATTGCTGTGTAACAAACAGTCCCCAAATTCAGTGGATTAAAACAACCATTACTTTATTTGCCGCTTCTGTCAATTCCAACTTTAAAATATGTTCAACCTGCCCATTTCTCTCCATTTCCAGGATGCTTACTCTAATCCAGATTCCTTTCACTTCTCACTTCAAAATAGAAGAACTCTCCTGCTGGCCTCATCCCTCCTATCTTGTTCCCCTCAGATCCATTCTCCACACTTCGGCTCAATGGCCATTGCAAAAATGCCAACCAGTTCATATGACTTTCCTATTTAAACCTAGTACCCTATTGTGATCCTCAGAATGAGGTCAACACAGCTTGGTGTGGAGTATTGAAGGATACTTCCCATACAGTTGTACAATCTCCCCCTCATACACTCTTCCACCACATTCCCACCATACCAAATTCTGTTTGTTTACTTGAATTGTCAAGCTCTCTCAGTTATATCTCTGCCTTTATACATGCTTTTGTAAAACAGTTTGGAATACAGTCCCAAAGTTGAAAATACACATAGCTTATGACTCAGCAATTACATTCCTCAGCCAAAACCAACAGAAATGTGCACTATGTTCAAAAAAAGAAAAGAAACACATAGAAAAGCAGCATTATTCATAATAGCCCAAATTTTGAAACAGCACAAATGGATTTTTTATGGTTTTATTTTTCATGGGTTATTTCTACAATGGAATACTATACAGCAGTTAAAAAGGAAAATGAATACAGCTGATTCTCACAAACATAATGTTGAGAAAGGAAGCCAAGTTTCACGCATCCCCCACCCCCCGCCCCTGCCAAATGACAGAGAGATGGAGAAAGAGCAAACAAGAAAGAGCGGACGTGATTCCATTTATACAAACATGTATATTTTGGAACTGGCAAAATTAATCATCAGTGGTATTAAAAATCAGGATGAGCAGGTTGTTAACTTGAGTTACATGGTGGAGACAGTTAGGAGGAGGCATCACTAAGAGGCTTCCAGGGTATAAGTAATCTATTTCTTGACCACAGCGACAGTTTCCCAGATATGCTTACTTTGTGATGATTCAAAATTTATGATTTACCCATCTTTATCTATGCACATTATACTGAAAATATAATTTTTATTTTTAAAAGAGCAAAAAGTTGGGCTCCTGGATGGCTCAGTCAGTTAAGCGCCCAACTCTTGGTTTCAGCTCAGGGACGTGAGATAGAGCCCCATGTTGGGCTCCATGCTCAGCGCAGAGTTTGCCTGAGATTCTCTCTTCCTCTGCCCCCACTAAAATAAATAAATAAATCTTTAAAAACAAAAGAGCAAAAAATAATTCACCAAAGGATGAGAAGAGAAAATAAAAACAAACAAAAAAACCCCCCAAAACCCAGAGTCCAGAGAGGCACAGAGGAAGGGACACAGTTAAGCAGCAGGAAAGAAGAGGGGTGGAGGTGGAGCTTCACCCCTGCAGTGGATTTACAGGGAGAAGGACTTATCAACAGTAGTGAACGGTGTTTACTCCCTTTGGGGGAGGCCAGTGAAAATCTTTATTCATTACAATTTGATCCAGGAGCAGAGCTACCCAACCATGGAATCCAAGTCAACTCCTGTTCTGTATATCTGGTGGATATAAAGAAGGAAAAGCCATTTTTTAACTCGAGAGTTGAACAGCAAGCCCAAGCGAGGACTAACCGTAACCAGGCATCTGACATAATAGGTAAGGCTGACTGAAAGAGTGTGCAATGTTCCAGGCAAGGGGCTGGGACATGTCATCAGGGTCCATCGAGGCAGCCCAGTTGGCCTTGGATGGAGGCAAGAGGGAGGAACCAGTATCATATGCAGTGAGCTTAGTAGGAGAAAGTCCCAGTAATCAGAAAAATACCAAAAGATGGAAATGGTAGATTTCAGTATTAATGTATGGGAGACTATTTCTAGAGCAAAAGAAGAAAGTATGAGGGTAGAAGTTGAAGAAAAACTAAAAAACATCAGAGAGCCAAGATATTCACGGCAGGGGATGAAGAAGGAAACACATGAAGACAAAGAGAGGTATTGAGAGAAACCACTGCCAGAAAGAGAGGCATAAGTAGGGGAAATGGGCAAAGCCAAGAGGAAAGTGAAGTAAACTGAGAATAAAAGATAAGAGGGAGCCTGAGGACAGCAGGGAGGAGGGGGGTAAGAGGTCACATGAGGGCAGAGGTTGGAGGTCACATGAGGGCAGAAGTAGGAGGTCACATGAGGATGGGAGAAAAGTGTTGGCAGGTGGGCAAAGCTGCCCTCTGTGCGTGAATTCCATCACCTTTAGTTTAGGACTGGAGCAACCTGCAGGTCACACACATTCAAGCATAGACCAGGGTGCCTTGAGTTAACTTAGCTTCTAGGTTTTCCTAGTGGTCCTATTGCAGAGTCGCCTGCTATGTGGACTCATTGGCCCCACCCTGAAGCTAAAGGGCTTTTGCTCCTCTGTGCAGTGATCAGCAGTGACTCCGAGGAATCCAGTGATGAAGATGAGCCCCCAGAAGCCTCCACATCAGCACTGGAAAGCGGGCCTGGTGAGGAAGTGGGAAAGCAGGCTTTGGCTACAAGAATCTGAATTAAGAACTACTGTTTGATGCATCTTATTCTGTGCCTATTCTGTATGATAGATTCAGTTTATCCTGGAATTTGATTCTCTGCATTTATTTTACTTGACCTTTTTGGGAAATGCAGGGAGATAAAAAATCATTAATATACATACTTTTTAAAGATGAGGCCTATTAATTGATAGGTCCTATTTATCAATACAAGCACCCATATATTGATTATATAGCAGAAAGGGGCTACCAAAATGATGAATTTGTTTTTAAGGCTAGTTTCTATGCTTATATGGTGTTGGATTTATAGTGATTTCTATAGGGAACAGAAAGCTAAATATTCATTTATTAGAAGGTCATATTGCCATCTGAGCACAAACTGAATTGTGTCAAAAGACAACTCATCCAGCTATCCAGCTTTAGCAGAAAAAAAGATTCAGATAGAGTACTCTGAAACCCAAAGTATTGTTTTTGAGAGTTCTTCAGCAAGTCATGGCATATATAATGATTTTTCCAAGGACTTTTGCAAATAATACCTTACTTTTTAATTTATAACAATCTTAAGTACCCCAGACATTGTTATCCTTGTTTTCTAGAGAAAACACAATCATCAATGTTTCAAGGTCTTCTACAAAGTCTCATGGAGAATTAAAGGGACAAGACTAGCATCCTGGATTCTGCATTTTTGCTTTATAAAATTAGAGCTAAAGATGATTACCAAAATGTTATGTTTCCTCAATTTCATGGGTAGCATGAGTGGTCCTAAGATTTGCAGCTCTTTTGTGCACACATTGGTGATTTGTTTTCCCTTTCTGCTTTCTAGACCCAGAGGGTATTAGAAACATGCCTATTTGGGGAAACATACTTGGAAAAGACCTAAAAACAAATAAAAATATTAACCTGGTCCTGATGTTACCAAAGAACATTATTTTAAATGATACATTATTCTTATTGCTCACTAGATCCATCAAAGTAAAATGTAAATTCGCTTCAAGTTTTAAAGGGTACACATTTTAACTTTTGTCTTAGTGTAGCAAACTGCTCTAAAATGCAGTCCCAAAATATGTCTAGGATGCAGACACAAGAGATTATTTCTCAGCCTTGCAAACGCACTGGGTTGGAGGGGAAGTAGAAGAGGCTTGTGGTTGTCAACACAAGATTTCCAAGATTTCCTCCCTTCCAAGGTGAGAAACAGCAGAGATGAAGGAAGTGTGAAGTGACAATAGAAGGGGTAAGAAGTAGAAGAGAGAGAGTATGGGAAGGTGAGGTTCAGTCAGAGCAAAGTTGCCACTTGCCTCTTGGAGACAGGGAATGGAGTGTGACTATCATTCAAGGCAGGTGGCTTAGAAGGACAGACCAGGGTGGCACTGTTGCAGACCGCAATTTGCATGGGTTTTCTAGATTTTTCTAGATTTTCTTAGGAGGATATTTCCCACTAATATTTCAGTTTCTTGGTCACACGCTGAGATCCCTAAAAGGTCCTCTTCCTTTGTGCAGTGACCAATAACCTTGACTCATTAGAATCAAGTGAGAGAGGGGAGTCCCAAGAAGCCACCTGCTCAAAACTTCAGATTACACTAGATAAGAACATTAGGATTGCAACCCTGCATGACAAATACTCAGAGTCTAAATGCAGAGCTGTTTTCCTGATGAATCTTGTTTTGAGCATGCTCTGTGTGCCTTGATTCTATTACTTCTAAGGACTGTTTTCTGCATTTAATTTCTCTGGCCCTATTGGGAAGTGGAAGGAGGCAGGAAGGCATTATAAATTGTTATTTAACTGTACAGGCCCATTTGATTGATATATAGAAAATGTAGCAAAAATATGCTGGTAAAATGACAAACTTTTTTCTACACACTATCATGTATTAATGCTAAAGAGTTGAAATAATGTACTTATTCTCTACCAATATGCTTTATATTCTATCCAACAGAGTAAGCACGGTGTACCTCTGTTTGTTGACAATATTGTCATTAGTCCCAAATTTAGAAAACCTTCAAAGAATAATTTGTGCTGCTATTTAATTATTGATGGGAAAATGACCTCTGATCAGCTATTCTCAAACCCAACTTACTTAAACCATTGGCTTACACTGTAATTTTTTAAAGGGCTTTTGTAAATAAAGCTTCATTTTGTTTTCATAAAAAACCTTAACAGGGAGATAGGGTAACTAGGTTATCCCAGCTTTATAGATAAGGCAACTGTGGCTAGTCATGTTGAAGAATCATTTACAAATTTACACAGAGAGTGAAAAGGAGAGCCAAGCAGGAACCCAGCATTATACCCCAGGCCACCAGAACTGGATTCAGTTGAAGGAAAGAGAGAAAAATGATCATCAAAGTATTATTATGACTGCAAGCCCATTGAATTGTCACAGAATCTGTAAGATTATTGCATACAAATAATTGTTTCTTCCCTTTTACTTTATAGACTCCATGGATTTCAGAAAATCGCCTACATCCAGAAAAAGAGTTTGGAAAGTAGGTAAGGGCAAGTAAAAACTCCTCATGGTTACAAATGAACAGCGTTTTCTACAAAAGATTCATTCTAATGCTTTGCTATATCCTTCAAAGTAAAATATAAATTTGTTTTAAGATGGTTTGTATTTTAATTTTTGTATTAGGCTAATGGTTGTAACAAACAAATCCAAAGAAGTCAAGCATTCAAACACAATAGAATTAAATTTTTTTCTCAAGTAAACATTCCAAGGAATTTTAGATAGGGGAGGTGTGGGACCCTGTTTCATGTGGGGTTCAAGGAAGCAGCCAAGTGGGAAATCTGCCTTCTTCAATACGAGACTCCCAAGATGTCCTGGGGATATTCTTGCTGTGGGCTTTTTAACCTCTTGGTTCCTTTGTCATACACTCAGACTTTCAAGGGACACTTGCTTCTTCTGCAGTGAAAAGATTTGATGACTATTCAGAGTTCAGTGAGGAAGAGGAGCCCCCGAGAGCCTCGAACTCAGCACTGAGAAGTGATCCTGATGAGGAGGGTAAGGACTGCCATCACTGGGCTCCCGGACACGAGGAATCTGAGTTCAGAGTTCTTGTTTCCTGGGCATTTAACTCAGAGCACACTCCACGGCCTGGGATCCCATTCTCTGCATTTTTCACATCTGGCCATTTTGAAAAATGCAAAAAGAGAAATTATTATAAATTCAGGTTTAGCAAGATGGCGCTAGTTGAATGGCAGTGCCATTTTTACTACATGCTCTCAGATTTATTAACCCCAAAGTATTGAATTACATAGTGATTTCCACCCCCGCCCACTCCCATTTTCTAGAGAGCAGAGAAAATGGGTATCTGCCGTTGCTTGATTTTGTTGCAAACTTGTTAAAAAATCAGAAGATTCTGATCATGGACTCTGATTATTGAAGAAAGAAAAGCTTCTAGTTATTACCATCAAATTCACTTTATAGCTTTTGACAGATGACCCCAATATGACATTGGCCTACACAATGATATTTTAAAATATCTTCACTAATAAGATATCTTTTTATGTTTTTAACAACTTTAAAGATAAGCCAGATAACTGTTGGTCTCTCCACTCCACCGGTGGGGAAACTCTAGTACATAAACATTTAAGGATCTTTTACACATCTTATATGGAAATTTACTAGAAGAAGCAAAACAGCCTGGACTCCTAGCAAACATCCATAGTCTTTTATTCAAAACCTTTGAAGGGTGCCTGGGTGGCTCAGTCGTTAAGCGTCTGCCTTCGGCTCAGGTCATGATATCAGGGTCCTGGGATCGAGTCCTGCATCGGGCTCCCTGCTGGGCAGGAGGCCTGCTTCTCCCTCTCTCACTCCCTCTGCTTGTGTTCCTGCTCTTGCTATCTCTCTCCCTCTGTCAAGTAAATAAAAATAAAATTTTAAAAAAACAAACAAAAAGCCTTTGAAGACAGACATAAAATAATAATCTGTTAGAGAAACAATATGGTTTATATCCTACATATTACTAAAAAAAAATCCAACAGGGTCTGGGACAGAATCCCATTCTCAAATATACTATATTAGTGTTCCTGCAACAAATAGTGTGAATTCACACCAAGTGTGAGAAATAAAGATTTTACATAGACTCATGACAGCTCAAGTCCAGATTCGCCACCGAAGTAGTTAACTGAAAACCTATGGCAAAAATATGGATTTTCAAAACTTCTTTGATTTTGCAGTTGGGGCCAAAGGATTGTGGTTCTCTGCTCCATTTAGTAGTGATCTTTTTCGTTTAGATGGGAAGAGACAGAAATGATCATCATACTGTCTAGTCCAGATCCTGTCTATAATGTGAGTAGTCATAAGATTTACAACTCTTAGTTGTAGATTACTGGTTGTGTTTTCCTTTACTTTTTAGATCCTGCGGATATTGGAGACAAATCTATTTGGGGGATAAGCAAGAGGAAAAGATGTAAGGGCAATTAAAACTCTTGATGTAACAAATATCTTTCTTTACTACAAAAACTTCATTCAAAAATTTTTGTTATATCCTCTAAAATAAAAAAAAATTAATTTGTTGGCAATTTGATGGATTCACATTATACATTTTGAATTAGGTGGGCTGGGCTAATTGATACAACATGTAGGCCTCAAAAAGTTGAATGGCACACATGCAATATAAGTATATTCTTCATTTGCTTAAATTGGATAAAGTAACTCCTGGAGTGGAGGGGTGTTCTGCTTTGTATGATTGTTGAGGGCCCCAGCTGATAGAGGCCCTGACATCTTGAAAACGTTGCTTCCACAGACTCCCTGGATAAGCAAAGGAACTGGAAGAAGCAGTATGTTCAGACAAGTGGAGAGGGTAAGACATGGTGACAAAAGGGAGTGCCTTCCATGGCAAAGTTGTCCCACAGCCCAGCCCTGGGGGTGGTTCCTGGAGCAACCCTGACCAACAGGTCAGATGGAGCCACAGGGTAGCCTGGTGGTAGGAATATTCCTGCTCCTCCTACATGAGCTTCATTTTCCAATTTTCCTTTTAAAGAATTTGGTGCTGGATTGGTTGCTAGGACACAGATTGAGACTGCTAAGGAATTTTATTTCTTTCTGCAGGGATCAGGAGTGGTTACTTTTCAGAATTAAGTCATACAGAAGAACCTCAGGAATCTTCTGGCTCAGTCCTAAGAAGTGGGTCAGGTAAAGAAGATTAGGATGCCAAGCCTTGGCCTGCAGAATGTCAGGAGTTAAAAGCTACTGTTTCCTGATGCGTTTTATTCTGAGCACCTGGAAGACCTGTATCCAGTTAATCCTGGGAACTCCTTTTCATCATTTTAGAAAATAGAAGGAGACAGGAAATTATTATAAATTCATGTTTAACAGGAGGAGTCCTATTGAAAAAAATGTATGTAATTATATACTGCTGTTGTGGAAGAAATGAATAGCAAATGGTGGTATCTTTTTAATACCTACTGTCATGCCTACTAAGATCTTAGATTTCTACAGTGATATATTGGTTGACACTCATGTCATTTGTAACTGTAAAAGCCTCAAAAGACGACTGGTCCTGCTATGTAATTATAGACAGAAATAAAAGCTTCAGATCAACAACTTTCAAACTTTAGTATAGTTTTTGACAGATGTCCATCACACTGTAATTTGATTATATTGTGTTACTTTAAAGTACTTTGGCAAATAAGATCTTACTTTGTCATCACAATATCCTCAAGACTTAGGCAGGCTAATTTTTGTTATGCCCACTTTGGGATGAGGAAATAGATATTTGACCAAATTGTCCAATTTGACCAAAGGTCAAAAAGTATGACTATTGTATGTAACAGGCATGGATAAAAGAGCTGTATCCAGTGATCAAAATCCAAAAAGGAGGTACAAGGCACCTGACATATAGTATCAGCAGAACGTATCAGTGCCTGATGCAAGAAAACTTACTTAACAACTATATAGATGATGATGATAGATAGATAGATAGATAGATAGATAGATAGATAGATAGATAGATAGATGATAGATAGATAGATAGATAGATAGATAGATAGATAGATGATAGATAGAGAGATAGATAGTAGATAGATAGACATATAGATAGATGATAGATAGATAATAGATAAAAATGAAAATTATAAAGAAAAATAAGATGGTAGGAGTGGTGCCAGCTATAAGGTATACAAAATACCTAGAAGGGCAGAGCCAAAAAGGATGAATAGAGAAATAAAAAGGCACAGAAATTAAGAATATCACTGATGAAAAGAGAGAAAACAACACAGAGGACAAGAGAAATCAGGGAAATCAGGGAGAGAAGCTCACAGAATCAAGTGATGGAGATAGAAATGTGTAAGGCAGGGAAATGGCCAGAAAACTGAGAAATAAGGAGGAGAATGAGGTATGGCCAGATAGAAAAGGTGACAGAACACATCTTTGATGGATATAAGGTATAGTAATTGGAGTGGGTGTTTTCTCAGCTCATCTGAACAGTAAATATAAATGAGCTTAACCACATCAAAGTGGTCACTGTCTATAGTCTGTCATTTCCTTATTTCTCTTCAGTGACCCCCTATGAATTCAAAGCTCTTCAGATGAATAGAGGAAGAGAGTCAGAAGAGATGCCAACCTATAAGCATCTGATGGAGAAGCCAGTTATGATATTAATTATCTTTGTTTTCCTGTCTACAAAGAGGGAAAGCTCTTCTTTCTTTACCTTACCTCTTCCCCAAAAACATAGCATGTACGTGCACACACAAATGCACACACACTCCTATACATAGGCTTGTGCACAGATTTGGACTGCTTTCAACAGGTTTAAGGGAGCCAAAAGAGAAAGAAGAGCTGTGTTCCTGAATGGAGGGAGGTGACACTGAATGGATAATGTAAGGAAGAAGAATGGAAAAGATAGGCTGGGGTCTCCAAATGGAAAGACATCTGACTGAGTATACTTCAAGTTTTTTCAAGTGGACGTGGAACCCAAATATCACCAGATTGGGGAGTTTTATGGGGGAAGAGTGATGATTTTCAAGATACCGATCAGGAGTTGTACCAGAAACATGGTAATAAAGTCCATGACTGACTGAGTCTTGCAATGTAGAAAAGCCCATAGGGAACTGGCAAAAGTAAAAGTGGTCAACAGTGTAGTCAGTGTCAAAAGAGTAGGTATTTGGTCATGAATGACAGTAGCAGTCTGTGAGATGAAGCTGAATATAGATAAAATATAAATACAAAGATTGTAATTGTAAAAACAGCCAAAAAATCAAGATAAGATTAAGAGAAACAGACTAGAAGCAAAGAGAAAATGGAAAAGGAAGGGACATTAGAGAGAGGATTACTTCAATAATAAAACTAGATCCAGGGATAGAAGCATTGGAAAATAGATGGAATGAGGTACATATATAGGGTAAAAGAGGAGGCACACAGAGAACCATACAGAAAAAGAGTTAAAAGCTGAGCGAAAAATGACAGAGTGTAAAAGGAAGAGAGGCGAGATGGAGAAATTGTGGGATCTGAAATGGTCAGGAGACAAAAGCAATGTTGGTGCAAGGGATTGGTTCACAGTAGCAGTGAGTTTTCAGGGCAAGGTGTTCCCAGGTATCAGTGTCCCCTATAACTCACCCAGATTACAAGAGACATCTCCCAGGCATCTCATCCACTCCTATGGTTTCAATCACCATCCACTTAATAGTTCCTAAGCAGACATAACCAGCCCAGCCCTGTCCTCTAAGCAGATAAGCTCATCCATCCAAATGGCAGAATGATCTCTGTCCAAGGTTCTGAATGTCCTAGCCCTCACCACTTTAGGTGTCCTCCAAAACCTTCAAACTCGACACTTCCAAAAATGAGCACATTATCTTCCTAAAACCAACATCTGCTCCTCCAGGGTTCCCTGTTTCTAAAACACACTATTAATTGTCCCATTCTTTCAAGTTGAAATTCAGAGTCACCCATGACACCATTGTCTCCTCAATTGATACACCACATCTATCACCTAACTCTATCAATTCTTCCTTTTAAATCTCCAGCCTGTCCCTTCATCTCCATTCCCAGTACTGACACTCTAATCCACATCTATATCACTTGTCACTTGAACTAGATCTACAAGGTCCTGTTCTCCTTCTAATCTTGTTCCCACCAAATATATTCTAAGTGATTTAGCCAAATTGATCTTTCAAAACTGCATCCCATGTCCTTTAACTTCCTTTAGGGTTAAGTGAATTCTCCTTCATGTGGCCTCCAAAGCCACTTACCTCAGGGCTCTTGCCCCTTTCTCCATCCTCATCATTTCATTCTCAAATATATTTAACTCTTTGTGGTTACTTGCTTTTGCTGAATCTAGACCTTTGTACATGCTTCTTCATATTTCAATCAGTCATTTGTTTCTGTGTCAATTCTCTGGTAGCTCATAAGATTGATAAGCACTGATGCTTCAATAGTCTTGTGTCTGAATTATTATCAGCATCCATCTCAGCACCTGGCACCTGAAAGAGGCTTAGGAAACTTCTTGAGTGCATGAGAAATATTGTTCACTTCCTATATTCCAACATATGGAAATTTTCTGGCAAAAGTTACTTTATTATAGTATTTATACAGAATATTCACAAAATCTATCTTAATAATTGAATTCTATATATACATATATAAATATAATAAATAATATTTCTAGAAAGAATAGCAGCACATAAAGTAAATGTAAGAGTATGCTTAAAATGTAAAAGGATGGATGGGAAAAGCATATAAAGAAAAAGTAGAAGAACAAAAATACAAATTTGGGGCAAAAAGAAAAGGATAAAAGAGAAAAAATAGATTGAAAGGAAGGGACAAAGACAATGGGGATCAAAGAAAGAGATTTCTGAGGTAGAGACATCCTTTAGTGGAGGGGTGGGGGAAGGGAGGATCATTGGAAGAGAGGAGATGCAAATGAAAACTCTTTACAAATCACAATTTAGGAGCAGAGCCACAAGGACTTGGAAATGAAAAGTGTTCCTGTGTCATGTGTTTTTCAGAAGGTATTTCAAGAGGCCAAGGAGCAAGGACTGAGAGTAGCCAAGCATCTGACATGATGGGTAAGGCTGCCGGAGGGTCTTGGGGTGGAGGTGGTTCTTCAGATACCACAGACCATGGGTATGTAGTTGATCAGAGTTCAAGGACATCAGACAACTCACCAATGGAATGGCCAGTTATGGAAGTGGAGGGTCACACGGCCCTAGGCTGCAGGATGTCAGAAGTCTGTTTTTGTTTCCTGCTGCACTTGACTCTGAGCACACTTTGATAAGGAAGGGGTGCATCCATGCCAGAGTCCCATTCTCTGCATTTGCTTGACCTGAGCCTTTTGGGAATGGCAGGGAGGCAAGAGATTCTTTTAAAGTCATGTTAAATAGGGTGGACCTTGCGGATTTACATGGATGATCTAGTAGAAATACACTGGTAAAAATGGAAGTATCTCATTTACTATATTAGTGAGTCAATACTAAACTATTGGATTTATATAATGACATCTACCCTTGTCCATGGAATGAAGCAATCCAAATGTTCTTCAGCTGGTAGATAATAGTGTCACTTTGTCACAATTTTGGAAAAGCCTCAAAAGACAAATGATCCTGTTATCTGTCAGGAAACAAAGGCCCCAGATAACTATTCTTAAATTCAGCATATAGTTTTGAAGGATACACTGCAGTATGTTGACTAATACAGTGATTTCTCATTAGCTTTTGTAAATAAGATCTTATTTAATTGTCATAAAAAATTTAAAGCCTGAACAGGATAACAGTTACTATCCCTCTTTCATGAAAGAGGAAACTGATGTCCTTAAGAAGTTAAGAGCATTTTCAAAGTCCCAGAGAAATAAAGGAAGACCTTAGATATCAATTCAGTACCTGTCTATTTCCATTATAAGGAAGGCAGAGAAATGATACTCAGGTCATTATAAACTCAAGCTTTCCACAGTGTGAACTGTCATAAGATTTATAACTTTTATTTATAAATTACAGTTATATGACCACCACCTGTTACTTTCTAGATACCATGGATATTGGAAACAATTCTACTTCAGGAAAACACAATGGGAAAATAAGTAAGAATGAATAAGAATTTGCTTGATTTTTATGTTACAAATGGAGTGTTGTTTTTTTTTTTTAATTTTATTTATTTATTTGAGAGAGAATGAGAAAGAGAGCACATGAGAGGGGGAAGGGTCAGAGAGAGAGAAGCAGACTCCCTGCCGAGCAGGGAGCCCAATGCGGGACTCGATCCCGGGACTCCAGGATCATGACCTGAGCCAAAGGCAGTCGCTTAACCGACTGAGCCACCCAGGCGCCCCAAATGGAGTGTTTTTTAATGCTAAAGCTTATCATCATTTTTTATTCCTTTCATAAGACAAAAAAATGAATGTCTTTTAAAGTAACTATTTTTTTCCAAAATGGTTGTATCTTCATGTTGTATTTTATTCTGATTTTAAAATATGTTTCTTATAAGCATTGGTGTATGTCTTCTCAGAATTTTTCTATGCATGTATTAACTCAGTTTGAGATATATTTTTATACATCTTCATATGGTAATTTTATACATACTTTTCCTTTTCTTGCTTTTTAAAATTAATATATCATACCTAAGCCCTAAACACATTTAACATTTTAATTGAACTATAAAAAGTCTTATTTGGTGCTTTCACATGCACAAGTCTTAATTTTTAGGGTGGTTGAGCATTTTTCATTTGTTATTGGTCATTTATTTTTCCTCTTTATTGAAGTCTTTGTCATAGAGTACTGTGAAGTTTCCTGTTGTGGTGTTTTTCCTTTTTCTTATATTGCTGACTGAATATAGAAAAGTTTATCTGATATATACATTAAATCCTCACCATATGTGTTGCTAATATGTTATCCCATTTGTTTTCCTTTCCTTTTATTTATTTATTTACTTATTTAAATTTAAGATTATTTATTTATTTTAGAGACACAGAAAGCATGAGTGGGGACAGGGGCAGAGGGAGAGGGAGAGAGAGAGAGAATCCCAAGCAGACTCCGTGCTGAGCATGGAGCCCTACTGGGGGCTCGATCTTATCACCCTGAGATCATGACCTGAGCAGAAATCAAGAGTCAGATGCTTAACTGACTGAGCCACCCAGGCGCCCCTGTTGCTTTCCTCTAATGTTTGTTAATGGACTCTTTTGTCCTAGAGACATTATAAGTTTTTAGGTCATCAAATTTTCAACTTTTCTCTCTCTGGCTCTTGGGTTTCCCATCATTTTTATAACAACTATTTCTAGCTGAAGATTTAAAAAAATATTGTCCCATATTTGATTCTAGAATCAAATGTTTGAAGTACCTGATTATTTTTAATGTTTACACCTATAATTCCGTGGGTTTTGCCTCTTTGCTTTTATGTGAGGTCGGAATTTCAAAAATATTCCCTACACTTTAATCACACAGTGCCTTTATCTGTCTATATACTAGATTTTCTTTTGCAATCAAAGAGGCTACAGAAAAGAAGAGAGAGCTCAAAGGTAGCACCATCCTGATGACTCACTGGGGGAGAATTTTAGAATCAATTCAAGAAGATCCCCCCCCCACCTCCTTCCCAAATTCACTGGAATCTCTGATTAGAAATACACTGGGTGTTATATGTAAGTGATGAGCCACTAAATTCTATACCTGAAACCAGTTTTACCATATATGATAACTAACTAGAATTTAAACAAAAACTTGAAAAAAAAAAAAAGAAATGCATTGAAAAATGCAGATTAATTTTGGGAGAACAGAGACTATTACCCACTTATTCACATCTTATTTAATGTTCTTCCAATAAGAATCTTCTTACACATTTTTAAAAGTCTTATGTGGTGTACAAATTTGTTTGTTACTATGAGTATCTTTTTTTCTCTATTACATAATACCTGGAGTGAATTTAAATGAGACAATGATCTCAAAATCTTTATTTAAATAGGAAATCTGTGGTCATTTTATTACCCACTTGCATGTGAGGAGCTCAGAATGCCAAGGATTTTTTCCTAATTTAATATAAAATCTTATAAGCATTTATACAGTTTAGGGATCCAGATATCAGTTAAAATATGATAGCCAGTATGGAATTGTTGAATCACTATTTTGTACACCTGAAACTGGTATAATATTGGAATTAAAATAAAATTTAAAAAAATATGATGGCCAGGCCCAGGAATTATCAAGACAGTCAATCAGAATTAAGGCTACTTTGGAACTGTTTTCATGCAAAGTGGTAATAATTTCTAATTTGGGGGAGTATTACAAGGCCCATTTGAATCAACTCTCCCAAGGACAAATTTTTATTAACAGAGAAAAGAACAAATTGGTAATGGTTACGAATAGACATATCTCCATATTTTACAAGAGAGTAAGACTTACCTTTTTATGAAATTTCTCAATTTAATGCTTTGTCAAATCATATTCTTTATGTTAGTTTATGGTACAGAATGTTCTTTCTCCTTCCACAGCTATAGGTTGAGGGGGACTTTCCCTCCATCTCTTTCTGTAATTCCTTGTTAGTTTTACATATATAAAGATTTTTTTTATTTATTTGAGAGAGTACAAGAAAGAGCACAAGCTGGGGAGAGGCAGAGGGAGAGGGAGAAGCAGACTCCCCGCCGAGCAGGGAGCCTGACTCGGGCCTCCATCTCAAGACCTTGGGATCATGACCTGAGCTGAAGGCAGACGCTTAACCAACTGAGCCACCCAGGCACCCATCCTTGTTAGTTATAAAAACTTACATTTTCAAATCTGATTTCTGGATTTCATTAGACAGCCATATAAGAAATGCAAGCCCATGGAGTTCAGAAATACATGGTTGGCAGAAAATAGAGAAAGACCTGAAAAGGATTTTACCTAAAAACAGTAAAATAGGTACATAGAGATTTTTTTCTCCTATAGCTTCCTACTTATTTCTTAAATCTGAATCAGCTTGAGATCCCCTGTGTTTTTTATTTTCAGATTTCCTTTATTGTCTTCACCTAAATACATAATGTGAATGATTTGTTCAGTATTTAGGTGATGACGTTTATGATACCTTTTATGTTTTTATTTATTTTATTGAAGATTTTATTTATTTATTTGAGAGAGAGAGAGAACACAAGTGGGGGGAGGGGCAGAGGGAGAAGCAGACTTCCCGCTGAGCAGGGAGCTCGATGCGGGGTTCCATCCCAGGGATCATGACCTGAGCCAAAGGCAGACACTTAACCAACTGAGCCACCCAGGCACTCCAATGATACCTTTTTTTTTTTTTTAAGATTTTATTTGTTTATTTGACAGAGAGACACAGCAAGAGAGGGAACACAAGCAGTGGGAGTGGGAGAGGGAGAAGCAGGCTTCCCGCAGAGCAGGGAGCCCAATGCAGGGCTCGATCCCAGGACTCTGGGATCATGACCCAAGCGAAGGCAGACACTTAACGACTGAGCCACCCAGGCGCCCCCAATGATACCTTTTTTAAAACGACTACATCTTAATAATATTATATACACATTATTACTTACAGGCTAAGTATTATTACCAGTTCTATATTTTTTTCTTTTATCTCCAAATACTGACGACCCTTCTTTATCCACATTCCATTTACCAGACCTCATCCTAATGGGTTTCATCATATTCCCTTGTCACTGCTTTGTTTACCCACTGCACCCTCCCAACCCTTCCACTACTTCTCTTTCCTTGTAAATCAGACTACATCTATACTGACAACCACCAAAACTCAGCCTCCCTTCAAAGTACTCATTTTAGGTGAAGATGCAGACTTCAAAACTGCCCATGATTACTTACTGGAGTAGCATGAGAAATTTGGCAGAATGGAAGGAAGAGCCAGATTTAAGGGCAATATGAGTGTTCCCCCAAACAGGGGTATGGAAGACTTCAGTAGATAGGTCAAGATCTTGAAAGACTGGACAAGCTCATGCTTATGCTTAAGACTGGTAGAACCTTGTTGGCTGCAGATGAAGTCCCCAAACCTCAGCCTGAAGGATATGACAGGACAATTCACAGTCACCCCTACTCCCACAGACTAAGGGGATGAACCCAGAGCTCCCCTTCTTTTTTAAGCTCTACGTTTAACCCAGAGGCAGAGTCAAGGATCTCATTTGCAGCATGACTCAAGGTATAATCACAACACTGGTTCCCAGTGACATTTGTGCTTATTGACATAACCTCACAATACAGAAATCTTGGGTATTAAATGCAAGATGAGAGGCTCCATATAGCCCCACGATAATGAAACAGAGAAGGGCTAATTTTGCAAGGTTAGGCCAGTGTAGTACCCCAAATATTTAGGGTGTTTTCCTTATTTAGCTGTTTTTGCCCCAGGTCAAATGTACTAGCATCACAGGAATTCCTTCTTCCTGCTACATGGCAGGTGAGAAAAGACTCTGCATTAGAAATAGTTAACCCTTTACATATTGATGCATCCAAGAATATGTTGGATGAATAATTTAAATTAATAAATTAATTCTCTTGGTGAAAAATTGAATCCACATACATAATTGTACAAAATATGTACTTAAAGCAAAAAAAGAAAAACACAATAAAATAAAGGGAGGGATAAAGAAATGTCAGAAAAGTACAAATTACAAGGTTGGTGTGTGGGTTTCTTTTGAGAGAGAGAGAGAGAGAGAGCGTGCACGCGCATGAGTGCATGAGTTGGGAGAGGGGCAGAAAGAGAGGAAGAGAGAGACTCTTAAGCAGGCTCCATGCTGAGCTTGATCTCACAACCCTGAGATCATGACCTGAGCCAAAATCAAGAGTCAGAGGCTTAACTGACTGAGCCATCCAGGTGCCCCTAGTCCCTTTCTTTGAAGATTGGTGATTTTTTATTGTAGATTCTTTGTTATGGATAGTGATGTTGTAATCAATGTTGTTGGGTAATGAGAGTTCTCTGTAGATCCCATTGTGAAGGTGAGGCTACCTCTGGACTGCATGTTTCCAGGAGGACTGTAAAGATTAACTATAGCTGGGTGGACCTCCTGGCCTCACAGGAGAGGCAGGGGGAGGCAGCATGTGTGGAGAGCAGTGATGGAAGGGGAGGCAGACCTCTTCCCAGGAGCCTGGGCCTGAAGGGATC